GTAAAGGCTGAGGGAGCAGGTCCTGTTCAGCCTTGAGAAAAGACAGCAGAGAGGGGACCCCATCAATGTGTACATGTATCTGAACAGAGGGTGGCAAGGGCAGAAACTGATGCACATGAAGTTCCACCCAAACATGAAGAAGAACTTTACTGTGCAGTGACGGTGCACTGGAACAGGTTGCCTGGAGAGGTGTTGAGTCTCTCTCTGGAGACATCCAAGAGCCATCTGGATGCCATCCTGTGCCACGTGCTCTGGGGTGACCCTGCTAGAGCAGGGAGGCTGGACAAGACGCCCTGTTGTGGTCCCGGACCCATTCCAAAAGCCTGGGATTCTGTGCACGTAGACAGGCACCAACATCGCCATGTGCTGCGTGTTTGAAGCTGGTTAGTGCCAGCATGCCCGTGAGTGAGGGATGCCGGCTGCTGCCTGCTCCGCTGACTGGGGCTCCTTTGTCGTGCTTGAAAGCACACACAGATGTTACACCAAAGAACCTCCTGACTGAGGGTAACATACACAGAGGCACACACACACATAGGCACAGACACACACAAAAATACACACACACAAATACACATACATACACACACACAAATAGGCACAGACACACACACACAAATATACACACACACACACAAACGAAAGTGCCGACGCGGACGCGCAGCCCACGTCGCCCCTCGCGCTCTCCGCGGCGAATCTCCTGCTACGGGGCCCCGCCCGGCCCAACCTTCCTGCGCGGCTTCGCGCGGCCCTGCCCACGTCGGAGCGCGCGGGCGCCGCGCGGTGGGCGTGGCCGGAGCCGCTCCGAGGGACGCGCCGGGCCCGGGGAGGAGGAGCGGGATCGGGAGCGGGATCGGCCCTTCCCCGCCGCCGGGGCGAGGCCGCAGCGGAGCGGGGCGGGGGGTGGCCGGGTCCGGCCCATGGACCGTCCGTGCCCGAGGCGGAGCCCGTGGAAGGAGCCGCTCGGCCGCGGGAGGCGGCGCGCGGCGGCTGAGCGCGGCTGAGCCCCGGGGCCTTCGCTTCGCCCCGTCCCGTCCGTGCCCCGCGCCCGCCGCCCGAGCGGCACCATGTCGGCCAAGGTGCGGCTGAAGCGGCTGGAGCAGCTGGTGCTGGACGGGCCGCAGCGGCACGACAGCGTGCTGAGCGTGGAGACCCTGCTCGACCTCCTGGTCGGCGTCTACGCCGAGTGCAGCCGCGACTCGCCGCTCCGCCGCGACCGATACGTGTCCGACTTCCTCGAGTGGGGTGAGCCCGGGCGGGGGCCGGGTGGCGGGGGCCGTGCGCGATGCCCGGGAGAGGGGCGGCGGGCCGGCCGGGGGCGGCGCGGCCCCGCCGTGCGCTCCCACCGCCGCTCCCGGCAGCAGCCGGAGACGCCGCCCCTGGATGCGGCGCCTCCCTGGGGAACACCCCCGCCGCCAGCCGGGCCTTGACCCTCCAGGTCTCCTCCCTCGGTCCCAGGCGAACCGCTTGGCAGCCGGCAGCAGGAACAGCAGCGGAGTGTCCTTGGCCTGAAACCCTGCTCGGCTTAGCCCGAAATGTCAGGCTAATCCGGCGCTTCTCGGAGGGTTTCCTACCTGGGGGAGGGGAGGAAGGGAGAGCACCGGGCTCAGGCTTTGAAATGTTGCTCTGGTGCCGGCTCGTTGCTTTAGAGAGGGCGTGTGTGTGACTCGAAGAAACAACAGTTCCCGTTCATCATGCAGTCTTTTTTAATTTGGGCATGCCCCCCAAGGACAGAGTATTTCTAGGCAGCCTTTCTAAGAGCTTTGTTTAATGGTTCCCCACTGTTAAGCAGCCTGATAACGAGAGACCTCCAATAGTCTGGAGCGTGCTGACAAAAGAAAACGTGGATACTTTTGATGGCACTTAGGGTAGAAGTTTTCTATCCAATGTTGTTTAGTTAAGGCTATTGACTAGAGGTATGTGGAGAGCAGAGATCCTTCCCTGCTGCATGTCTAAATGAATTTATGTTAAAATAGCCATAGTGGCTGACTGGTTTATTCAGCTGAGTAAGTTATGAATAATAATGTATGACGAAGGTGACTTAACTTCTCCATGGAATAAGAATTGAAGGGGAGGGAGGAGAGATCATTGCTCACGAGAATGTTGTCCCGTTTATCAGCTGTTCCATGCATGTTCAGTTAATTAGGCTTTAAAAGAGCACTCTTTAAAAAAATCAAAAAACAACAAAAAAACCCAACCAACAAAACAAAGGATTTCCTAAGGGAGAGGGAGGGGCAGATTTACTTCAGTAAATGCAAATATGTGTCTTTAGCACTAGACCAGAGCACTAACATGAAGGGACAGCTGGTTCTCCTTAATTTCTGTGGGGACCACCACTCTTTGTCATACACTAACAAACTAAGAGGATTCACTTCCTGGACTCTTCTATTGACGTCAGTAATGCGATTGCCAACTGAATAATTAACCACTTTATCACATCTGCCCCGCAAGGCTGCAGCCTGGGGAACATTGATTATTTGTTTTGTCATGGGAGCTTTGTATGTCTTCTGCAAAGAGTGTTCAGGGTTTTTTGTTTTGAAGCTGATGGCTTGAACGAGTGAGCACCAGCGAATTGTTAAGTGTGATGGATCAGACTGCAGCATACTTTGAAAACTGAAGTTGGAAGGATTTGGGGCAGGCCAGAGAATGATATGCTTTTTCTATAGCGCTGCTGGTGGTTGTGTCTTACTGATTGATTCCAGCGTTGTCATTTTCTGTGTGATAGAGAGGCCGATTATCCAATTGTTTATAAAATCGCTTCTTTTAATTCTATTTATTGTGTTCACTGAATGTGAAAAGGTTACTGACTTGATGAAAAGTATAGCTTGCAATAAAAACAGTGTGTAGGTTTTACTGCAGTGTGGGATTACCCTGGTATAACAAAGTGCCTATTCAATAAATAATTGAAATGTATGTGAGCTACCATCTGGTGCTGCAGTGTAGGGATAAAAGTTTATAATCCAGGCTCTTGATGGTAAGGGGGTGGGCCTAAGTCTGGACTGTGTTTTGGTGTTCTATCAACAAGGGATACCCTTAATGCCAATTACAGTTGATACTGTGTCTTCCTTCCTTTCCTTCAAGCTGTTAAAATCAAGTAAGTGCCAGCAAGGAGACACCTTTTATTTGTGTCCTAATGCCCTCACGGTGTGTTTCCACTGACAAGGAACTTTTTTCTGCCTCCAGCTAATAAGGAAAATATCATGCCAAACACGATAATCTTCCTTATGTCATGATGTGTCTTAATTACAGCCTGATTTGCTGTTAGAAGATATTCTGGATTAATGTGCACAAGTTTTCTGTGGTGTTTTGTGTCTGTAGAAGCATCAGAGTGTAGTTAAATATTTGGGATGTACTTTGAAGATCAATGTTTCTTTATCAACTAAAGACAGAAGGAATTTCCTTTTGACAAAATGGAGACTTACCACTGACAATGGAAATAAACTGCATAGGTATTGAGTTTGAATTAAGATGAGCTATATAACAAACTTTTTTTACAATTTTGATTTTAAAACTGGGTGTGAGGTATCACACATGTAAAATTCCCTTGAAATGATTCAGCGTGGCTAATGGACTTGCTTGCCTTCTTAATTGGGTAAAGAAAATGGAGCTCAGGCGTGGTAGTTGACGCAGGTTATTTTTCTGGCTGTGGAGTGCAGAGGAAATTCTGAGTTGTATGGTGTAGTTGCTGGGTATGGCTATCTCTGCTTTCAGACAGAGCATGGTGCTGCTTATACACTGTAGCTGGTGGATGCTGGAGAAATGAGGAGTCCAGAAAATGAAGTCCCATGTTCATCTTGTGAGACTTAGGCCACTTCCTCTCTATTCGAGAGAGAAGCCTTGCGACTTATGTGTGGAGGCTGATAAACTCCAAATGGTGCATCCCATTGCTTCTGTCCTATTAATTCCTCTGCTGCTTCCTGGTAGTCCTGCCACGGGCTTATTTCTTCAAAATCTTCTTCCTATTTGCTAACCATAGAAGGGCACAGGGTGTGGTCCTTTGCCTTGAGGCAGCTTGTGGCTTCCATTGCTTTACAAATCTTGTCAGAATCTGCCATTTTAACCTTGTCAATTATAGCTTTCCCATGGTGAATGGAGCTTTCAAACAGACTGTTCTTTTCCTATACTGGAAGTATGATACACTTACCTTTATGCCAAGTGTCTTTGGAGAAGAGCTAGATGAACTGGAAGTGAGGAGTCCAAAGTCCTTTTCTTCTAGTTATTTTTATTTATAACTTCCGTTGAATAAGCTCTCACCCAGTTGGTTATCACTGTTTTATTGGTTATATAATAGATATTGAAATAATGCTCAGTATTCTTAGGAATTCTTGGGAATTGAATCCAAGTCTGTTAGGTAACAGACCTATGTCTGCATGGGAAGTTCAGAAAGAACTTCCCAAATCTGTGCCTAGTGTCTTTTAAACTGTTGCCGCATCTGCTGCTCCTAGAGTGAGAAACAGTGAGGAGTCAGTTTATTCTAGTTGGCTTTGCTTTTTCCTCTCTGAAAGTAAGACTACCTGAAGCTATCAGCAGGCACAGAGGAGGCTGCATGGACTTTGGACTTACTTGATGGACTGTAGGTGTTGCAGTGTGGTATTGTCCATACACTGCAGAGGGATGTCCCAAGAGACTCTTCCTGCAGAAAATATATGCTGTCCCTTATTTACCCTGACAAGGAGAGAAGTACAGGAGTGCTGGAGCAGCACAGTCACAGCTCAGGTGTCTGTGCACCACCTGTCCTTTGGCTTTCAGGTACAGCGTGTTCCTCCCTATGGAGCCTCTTGTTCTCATACTGAGGCATCTGAGTCTTGCATAACCCTGTGCTAGAGTGGCTGCTTGCAGGGCACCTTGCTGGCTGGCATCACTTCTGTGCTGGTTTGACATCACCTTGTTTTTCAGGAGTTATCTTAGCTGGCTGTTACTGGTGCTCACTGCCCCTTCCTTCCAGTCACCAGGGACTGGCACAACTGGCTGCTTTGTGTTTGGACAGCTTCTTGTCACAAAATGATCCTGGTGCTGCACAGCCTCTCTTGCTTCAGCCTTTGTTTCCTCTAACCCTGTTTCATACTTCTGGCCTACTACAAAGGGCGAGGTGGCACATGTCCCCGTACATTTCATTCAGTGTTGTCTCGCTCCTAGACTGGGTACTGGCTAGTTCTCTCTGTGACAACACCTCAAAACCTTTGTCAGAGTAGTTTAGACTGATTTGTGTTTGGGTTTTTTTTTTTGTTTGTTTGAAGCAGGCTCACAAGATGTGGACTGTTTCTCCTCATTTGCTATGAGCTGTCTGAATGCTGACTTACCTTCTGTGTTCTCAGCTTGTGCAAGAAGGTCTGCTACCCATCTAGAGTGGTGTTCTGCATTTGGATGGTGGTGGTAGAGTTTTTTTCTCTGTGTTTTTCTTTTTTCCTGAGAGGAACTTGAAGGATGCTGAAGCTATGGGGAAAATAAAGAAGATGCAGGTGATTAGAACAAGTAGGCCAGCTTGGCACCTGCTGCTGAGCTCTTGAAGACAGTCTGTATAGTAGACAGTGGATGCTATTGTAGTAACATCAGTATATTCCCAGTCTGGACTAGAAGAGAAAAAAAATGTACACACAGAGTGCTCAAAGCAACCTCTAGCCTGGCCCTGAACTGCCACTTTTGGGTATATATTTGCTACACTTGAGTCTGGCCCATAGATGGAAAATATCGTGTACAGAGCATTGACTGGGAAGGGCTGCTGTGCTAGTGCAGTGATTCACAACTTTAGGTCACTGTCGGGACTGGTGCTTCAAGTTTGGATCTTGCTGTTTGGAGGGGCTCTGTGAGCTTTGCAAGTTGACTCCAAGGCCTGGTCTTTCCTCCTTCCAGTTGTGCTTAAAGAGGCAACTTCAGATTTCAGATAAAGAAAATACCTAATTAGGGAATGGATAACCTTGCAGGGTGGCTTTTCTGTCAGAACAGTGTAGAGCCTGTTCTCTCAGCCTGAGAGCAGTTGTGTTCAGAAGTGTACATGTAAGCCTGAGAAAGGGTCTTTCCAGCCTGCATTAGAGCATCTTCTAAACCAGCTGCAGGGTTGACCTAGACCTCTGCCACAGGTACAGCTGTACTAGAAAAAGTACTAGGTAAGGGCAGGGGCACAATGTGTGGCAAGTGTGCTGCTAGCATAGGAGGCAAAACTATCCTTAAGTATTTTTGAGATGACCTCAGAGCTGATGGACTTTCAGGGTTGCTTATTGAGGATCTGTTGGTCTTTTGGGGTTACACCAGGAAAAACTGTCACTTGATAACACGTCATATCTTTTGACTTGAGGGCTTAAATTCCTCTCTTCCTTCCCTTTGGTACTCCTCCCCTGTCCCCTGCTTGCAGAAATACACAGAAAAATCCAGGAAGGGACCTCAGGCTCTGCCAGCTCATATAATGTCCTCTGTGCAGGCAGAAGCTGTGCAGTGGGTGATAAGCCTGTTGGGCACGTGTGTGAAGTGACAGTGGTTGGATAATGAAGACAGCTGCTGAACAAGAAAACTGAATTTCAGATTTTGGCTAAGTTTCCTCTATCACCCTCTATCCACCAAAGCCTGTTAGGATCCCTTACAATAGAGCTAGTGGCAGGAGGGTGTGGACTGGGGGCACACTGGGGCAGGGAACAGCTACAAGTGCTTTGCACATGTTCTGCAAAGGTGAGCACTGGTGGTGACCATGGGATATTTTGTGCAGTGTGGATGCAATTAGAACTCTTCCCTGCTCTTGAAGGCTTTCCTGTGGTCACAGATGGGGCACCATGGCTTGGATCACCTCTGTAACGAGGTTATGATGGTCATCTGGCAGAACAGTGCAACCCTGGCTGTTGAATCACAGTTTCCTGCATTCTCTGCTTTGATGAAACTGTTACTGTTCTTTTCAAAGATGTGTGTTAGGATTAATTCATGTTGAAGTAGCCCAAACTGCCATGTTAGCTTAAACAGCATTGTACTAACATGGGCTAGTTGACTTGAGGGCATGTGGTTAAAATCCTGCTGCTGTATGATGGACTCCTTACAGGACATCTGTTTTAATCTGTTATTTTTAGAATGAGGCAGAATCTTTTAATGACTTTTTCTGTAAAACTTCATGCTGGGAAGCACTGGCACTGAATGCTGCAGTCATGTTTTAGTAGTGACAAAGTAACACGGTCTGGAGGATGAGAGGCCCATTGGCTTGTGCTGTTAAAGTGACAGATGGCCTGGGTGAAGATTGTCTTTTGTCACATAGAAGGAAGTTGGTATTGCTTTTCTCCTGTGGATGAAGGTGCTAATAAATAGCACCAGTCTTTAGTTAGGGCTTGAGGAATTGTGTGATATATTGAAGGCTGTGATCTATATTTTGCATTTAAATTTTATTTATGAAAACTCAGAAGGGGGTAAATAAGTCACTGATAAGTTTGTCTTCATACAGGAAAATATGTGCGGCTAGTAGTTTCTCATTGATGGCACATGATACAGTGTAAGATTGTAATGCAGAAGTAGGATTTCATAAGTATCCATAAATCTAACTTTTTTCTGTCTTGTTTCACTTGCAAATTAAATTATTTTCATATTGATTTTTCACAGATAATATTAAGATATAGTATTTTGCAAAAAAATTTATTCAATTTACATCCTTAATACTTGCATGGTCCTCAGAGTTACACATTATCAGTGGAAATGGCATGGAAGTCAGTTTAGTCAACAGATCCAGTACAATGAGCTTTTTTATCAAATTAAGTTGAACTAATCTATTTTTGCAAACAATTAATGTGTGGGAATGAATCAGTTTCTTCCACACCTACGAGAACAAATGATTTTAGCTGTGTGAATCAGAACTGAAAAGACTTGTTTCATTAGCTTTTTTTAGCAAGTTACTTCTACTTTATGATTGTACATTGAAGTTTTAGGTTTTAGGAGTGTTAATCTGTAGTTGAGATTAACTGGGAATGTTAAACTACAGGTTCTTTAAATTTATAAAAAATTAGATTTTTTCCCTTGCATGTAATTGGAGGCAATTCATGCAAGCTGGTTTAAGATGGATATTACAGAAAGGAGGAATTATAATACTTAACAATTGCAAATTTATCTGCGCTATTAACAGAATGCAGTGCCTAGGATTATGAAAAATTTTGTGGGTTCATCTTTTTCATTACCAAAATCTGAAACAATTAATAGGAAGATGAACCAAAAATAAACTGTTTAGAAAAATAGAAGGGACTCGTTAACGCTTTTAATTTATTTTTTTTTGCTTTTGATAATACTTTAAATAGAGTTGACATTTGTTTCCTGACTCTTTCATACGGTATGCTTGAGAGTTCCACTGTATTCTTGATGTTACCAAAAGGCTTGTATCATGCTCACTGTTATATCTCACTGAAGAGCTAGGGGGTTTTGCATTTTACTTAATTTTTTAAAATTTTGTTTTATTTAAGAAAAGGGATTTAATTTTAAAAATTCTCCAGGCCTGAGAATTTTTATGTACATTTGCTCTGTGGTTCAATGTGATCTGTTCATTTTTGTCTTCTAACATTAAAAGCTTCCAGCCTATTTTTCTCATCAGCATATGCAAATTGCCAGAATGCAGGCTTTCATTTATAAAGATCTTGTTCACTATAATGAATGTAGCTTTCTTCAGTAGGAAACTACACACTGTTTTCTTAAGGCCTGATTTTGCATAGACCTCAGTAATCATGTCTGTAGATATACTTAGAGTGCATTCAGATTAAGTGTGTGCATCCATCATTTCCAGCTGAGGCCTTAGGCATCCTGAAGTGCCTGAGATCTTTATTTCTATCATTCATGTCATCAGGGTCTTAACACTGAAACGTGTTATTACTTAACCATGGCCTAAAGCTTCAAATGTGATTAGTACCTCTGGATACCCAGCCTAAGACATCTCTAAAGTACTCTGGGCTTTAGAAAATGGTGGGGATACCTTTACCAAATATTAAATAATTGAAATTGTGTGGAATTTATTAATCAGGTGTGCATTAGAGAAATCTGAGGTACAGTTCTTAATTTGTTTAAGTGCAGTGCCATTGAGTGGTGAATGTGTATAGCTGCCTTTCCCTAAAAGGCCGAGAAAAGATCAGAAGCACCAATTTTAAATGTGTCCCAAATTATTTTCATAATTCATAATTGTTCTCCAACATAAACATGGATAATTGCTTTGTGAAGTCCTGCTTGGAATGTGTTTATGCCAGTTTAGTGAAATGTGCATGCTCAGGGTTTTGGAGAAGTCAATACAAAATTCTGTCTGGACTTTTAATTCTTCTTAAACCTGAGTTAATGTTGTTCTAATTGTCATCAGAAGATTTGGTGAAAGGTGAAATAACAAGTAAGATGACATCTGTTTTAAACTCGCTGGAGGAGGTGTATAGAAGTCAGTCTTAAAGAAATGTTGCAGCTATTCTGGCAGTATTGTACTTTTATTTGGGACTGTGTAGTTCGTGGGATGTGGATTAATTCCTTTTTACAAGAGGTATAACTTTACCCAAAGCGTAACAACCACTATAGAAGTATGGGGGTTGTATATTATGATTTCCCTGCCAGTAATAGTCCCTTAGCCTAAGAATTAAACCGTGTGCCTATGAAATCTCTGTCTTCATCTGAGGAAGGACAAGGTTTCTAGTAATTGCATGATAATACTCATGGGACATCTGGAATCTTTTTCCCACTTTTGAGGAATTCCTCTATCCCTGGTTCCCCCCACTACTTCTTACAGAGATTTGACGTGTACCTTGGGACTGTGTGGGGATTGTCTCCATTGCCTTGCATATCTTAGGATTTCTGATGTTGTTGTGACATGGCTTCTATGGTCTTCATTTTGCACATCCTTCCTCAAAAGTTGTCTTCTTCATGGAGCTTTTCTATGTCCTTTCAGCCTTATTGCTGCCCGTGTGACTTGGATTATTAATACAGGAAGCTGGAGGGTTCAGAGTGCCTTTTATTTTACTGTAATTAAGGCAGAGTAGAAACAGCAGGGGGGTGGCTTCAGGCATGAAGATCCTATTTTATCATTTTGAAATATGTTCCCAAAGGTTTCCTTTTTAAAATGCGTGTTTAGTCTTTAGATTTAGCTCTTTTTCTGATGGGATTAGTTAGGTTGTCATGTGTTGCTGTTTTTCCCTCCACCCCTATTTCTGTGTATCGTGGCTGCATGGCTGTGGTCTGTCTCTTATGAGCCCTGAGAGATGGATACCCAGTGTGCAAGCTCTGCAGGCTTTGTTCTACAGGCTTCTGGCCATTTTTAGACTCTGGATCTGAAGGAGAATAAGCAAATTTTTCCTATTTTTAGGTGTTTTCCCTATAGTTAGGTGTACTTGAGTAAGAAGTTCGTACTGAAATTTTTAAATTAAGGATTTAGGTTTCTGTGTCTAGTCTGCGATTGTTTGCATTATGTCAGTGTGAAATGGGAATGTAATATCTGACCACATTTTCTTTCTTTTTAGTTTGTATGCTCTTTAAGCCAAGGAGGAAATTTCACTGTGTTCTCACTATCAGTGGTTCCTTTTAGGGTGGCATTATTGCCCTGGAATGCTCTCAAGTTACACACCTTGAAGGAAACGACATTTTTGTGATTCAGAACCATGGGACTTCCTCCAGGAGGCTCTGAGAAGAAAAGTTTTGCATGTACAAGAGGCTGAAAGTGATCTAAAAGTCCTAGTGGAGTAACTGGTAGCTAGGAACTGGTAGATTTTGGGTTGTAAGTGCAGAGTGAAGGCTGGAGCCTGTGGTATTTAATATTTCTGCCTGTAATGGGTAATAGGTATCTTTCTTAAACTCACAACACTTAATCTGTCAGAATAGACTTTCTGAGAAGCAGGTCATCTGTGTCACAGGGAACAGGCACACACATTTTCCTTCCAGACCAGCTTTAACTAGTTGTAGTAAAATGCCTTAGGTCATGTGGCATCATATCCCTGCATAAGAAGAATTAAGTTTGACTGTGTTAACTTACTCTGGTATGTAATTGAAGATTTCCATTACCAGTTAGTTCAGCCTTTGGTTTCCTGAACAGTTGATATTTAAGTTGGGAATAATGTCAATATACACACAGCTGTTTTTAAGCTGTGGTTCTTCTAGCCTGGTTTTCCAGATAACATGGGACAACATAGTGTGGGGATGCCTAACTGGAGGCTGTATCAGGTCCACACACGGTCTTTATCTTAACCCTAGAAGTATTTACTGGTTATTAAGGCAGCTGAACTCCACTTATCAGTCTATGTTTGTTATTGTGGGCCAGCAGGATTTACTGGATTGGATGTAGTGCTGCACCAACAGGGCTATACTGGGCAGGCTTGACCCTGGCAGGCACGACCTGGTCAGGTTTACATCCATGGCCAGAAAAAATCAGTCCTTATGCATCCTGAAGTTGGCTCTGATGTGAATAGTAAAGATAAAAGCCCTGACATTTTGTGAAGGAGAGAAGTGAGAGATTTTTAATTAAGAAAATTAAAAGCTATTTGTGAAGAAGCTTTTACTGCCCTTAGGAAAGGGCTTTGCAGTAATTTTCATCAATGTTTAAAGGTATGCATGCATTTGAGTGGCTCAGACCAGGAGAAGTTACCCTGGTTTATCCTGACAGAACCAAAGCTGTAGTTTGTCTAGGTATAGACTTCCTGTTCTTTTGGGTAGTGTTAAACATCATAGTGTTTAATGTTTCAGGCATTCTTTGAGGGTGGGGATAGCAGATACTACATTCCATCCTCTACCTTTTGTATACAGCGTTATACTACCTTCACACTGTGAAATATCACAAAGTTCAGCATGACAAATGCAAAGTCTTCCTCTGTGCAACTGTAAAAGTTGGGGAGTAACCATCTAGACAGCAGCCTTACAGAAAAGGGTTTGTGGATCCTGGTTAACAATTAGTTGAAAAAGTCGGTGATGCATCATTGTAGAAATGGAAGCTGCCTATGTGCAGGACTGCATCTCTAGAGAGTGTAGCCAGCAGGCTGAGGGAAGTGGTTGTTATTCTGTTTACACCACTCTTCTGAGGCCACTTCTCTAGTATGGTGTCTAGTTCAGAGCTTCTCAGTACAGAAGAAACACTGGGAACTGAAGTGAATCTAGGAGTAAACCACTGATATGGCTCAGAGCCTGAAGTACATGAGATGAAAAAAAAGCCTGAGATACCTGGATCTGGTCAGTCTGGAGAAGGGGAATCTCGTTATCCTCAACTGCCAGAGTGTGGTTAGAGAACAGAGGCAGATGCTTCCTGGGTGCACTGCCAAGAAGGACAAACAGTGGACACAGGCTATGGCAAGGAGAATTCCAACTCTTTGTGGGAGAAAAATAAAAGTACTCCTCCTGAGGATATAAAAGTCACTATAAAAGTCACCCAGAAGGCTGAGAGGTTCTTTATCCTGGTGACAAGCATCAGCTGGACAAGGCCTTTGTCACCTCATTGAACTTTGATGTTATCTCAGCTTTGAGTAATTTGGGTGGATTCTGATGTCCAGAAGTCCCTTCCAACCTAAGTTTACTCTGCGATTCAGTATATTTTCTTCTGTGTTAGCTAATGTATATAACATTATGGCTGCTCTAACAGAAAATAGTTGTTATTCATACTTTTCGTAATGAAAAGCAATATGTGAAATAGCATCTTCTTCTTGCTGGAGGTAAAGTAGTTCACACAGCTTGTTTTTTTTATAGTCTCAGGTGATTCCCTAGGTTTGGCTGGCACTTTACCACAGTCTCAACATAAGTATTGACAAGCTTGTAAATGAAGAGAAACTAAATTTTGTTCATATTTTTCTTCCATGTGTTTGAAGAAAGCACCAGTTTCCTTGTTCCTGGCAGTGAATTGCCAGAACAGGTTTTAAGAACTTTGTACCTGTATTTTATGTGTAATGCTGTTTCTCAAGCGTGGTTTGCTTATATCTAGTTAACCTTGATAGCACTTATTTTACAGCATTCCTCTGTGGAGCTGTCAGTAGAGCCTGCCATCCCTGCACGACTGCAAGCCTGAATCATCCTTCATAAAAATACAGGTTTAGTTGTTGTACTAGACATATTCCCACATCACAAAGGATCTCTATCTAGTAGGGCTCCTAATATGCTTCTATCTGACACCGTAAGGAGTCTGGCTAAGCAGTTGCTAACAACAGGGTGAAGCAAATCTTCCTCTTAAGAGGAAGATCTAATGGGAGATACTAGCTGGGGTTTTTTGTTTCCTCTGTAAACTATTAACTCATGACTTACCTGAAGTTGGACTTGCAGCGTGGTTTTCATGGGGATATTCTTGATTGATTATAGTGGACTCAGCTGACCAAAATGCACAACAAATTCAGTGTTTCAAAATCATATTGTTATATGGAAGTGCTATCAATGACGAGGATAACAATATACAAATGGAACAAAACCTAAGAAATGAATCCTTTATTAGTGGTGTTTTATACTTAGAAGGTATCTAAAGTGGCACTTGACTTTCCTTGCAGTGAATTTATATCTATGTCTTTGAGTATTTTGCTTACAGCAAAACTCTTGGAAAATAATGAGGTTTTTCAAAATTATCATATTTCTAAATGCTTGGCAGTCTGGTAGATCCCCTTCTCGGAGAACATACATTGTCAACTATGTCATGAAGGCATTCATTGACAGTGCTATATAATGTAATGGTCCACTGCCCTTCTGGGGCAAGGGTTGTCTGTGTCTGTGAGCAATTTATAATGTGTGTTCATTTTTCAGAAGAAACTTCTCTTAGTGTTGTGTAGTTGTTTCAGATGCTCTGGTACCTGCACACTGTGCATGTACCATGGGAGAAAAAGCAGGTAGTGAAGTAATGACAATAATTTTTTTGTGACTGAGTCTTGCTGCTTAAAACTACTGAGAAATACTATTCTCCTCCTCTTATGCCCTAATTTCCTCTCTCATTTAAGGTTTAGACTCTCATTAAGAGTTCAGACTCTTCACTTTTAATTTCTTACTTGTATTTAGAGAAGGCACTTTGCAGTGATGTCTTTAAAACAGCAGTGCACACTTGTGCAGACATGGCAGCAATGATCTTTTTTGTCAGTGGCTGTAATATGTCATTATGCACATTGGTAATGATAGCTCTTTCTTCAAGTATATGCTTGATAACTGCAGAATAAATAATACAGACCTCACTGCAAAATGTGCTCCAGTAATTCACCTTCAGAGCTCTGTGGGTGACAGCTGGTGAAAGATAATGGATTATCTTTCTGCAAGAGGAAAGCACGGGCAAGACCTACTTCTTACTTCAATCTCCTTGCTCTCATCTCTTCCTCCCCCCTCATGTCCCATATAACATTTAAGAACCTGTCCTCTCCATTTTCTGAGGGACTTGGGTGGAGATTGCCTGTTATCACTTCTGTGTTTAGAAAAATAAAATAAAAAAAATGAATTGGCAAGGAAATAAATTTAGCTGTGGATAACAATTCATGGAAGAGGAAATCAACACTGTTTGCTTGTAATCTTTTACCACATATCCAGAAATAGATTGTTGGAGAGTCATAGTATTTGTTTTAAAATTCGTAGTATTGGAATAAAAAATAAGCAGGTCTGTGAATTAGAAAGGAGTGGAAAAAACATTATTTAAACATTTAAAACATTATTTAAAGTCCAGTATACTACAAATATTGGTCAAGCCAGATATCTTTAGTTGGTGCTTCAGAAGTTCCTGTACTTTAAAGTAAACTTTGAGATTTTTTACTAAAATGTCTGTTAAGGAAAATTTCAAAGGAGAGATGGAACTGATGATTCTCAAAGAAAAACTTCTCACACGAAGTAACAAAGATTCTTACTAGACTTGAGGATTCTGAGTTGTTCAACTATGTTCATATAAGAAAGGTGAGACTTCAGAGTGACTTCTTGGTTCCTTAAAAATGCATTCCTTAGAGAGTGTTAGACCCTTCAGAAGAGTAGTTTGTTAAATTTTGTTTTCATGTAATACAGTTGTAAGTGCTCCTGTTTTCCTTCCTCCTTTAAATTACAGCCGCATAGTCAGTCAGCAGTGAGTTTTTGCCAACAACTGCAGCTGTTTTACTCTGCTATTGTAAAATTTCTTAAAACAATTAGGTACATTTTTGTTCCTGTGTAAGAGTAATGCCTGGTGCAGTCTGAGCATAGTAACAGTCATAGTGATAAAGTCATCCTTGCTGGATGTAGATAATACAGTGCTCATGTAGATAATACAGTGAAGTAGTTTAACACATGACTGTTCCTTCTTTTTTATCATGACTGGTACTTATTTTGAAAGATTTTATGGACCTAGGGTTTTTTGTTGTTTGTTTTGTGGGTTTTTTTTTAACAATGCTACTGTGGACTTGTTTTAAAATTCGAATAATATAGGAAACAAGAACTGAGCTTCAAGAAATTATTATAAAAGTGAAATTTTGGAGCTGTTAAGATACAAACAGGACAGTTGCCAGAAGTATAGTCTTCAAGGCTTTTAACTCCTTTACAGGTAATTTGGTCAACAAAAAAGCAAGTTTTACAAGCAGAGTCACCTTTTCCCCCCGATGCTGTGGGGTATTTGTGACATGCAGACCTTGCCACAGACGTGAGTTATGTGTACCTGCTTGAGAGAACCAGAGTCAAGCTGTATGCTAAAGCCCATGAAATTACCAAAAGATTAAAAATATTATTAGTAAATGTCATGTCCTTGCTTGATTCACAGTGGCAATCCAAAGATGGAATAATGGATTACTGAACAAGCAGTACTGAGCACATTTTTCATGAGGCTGAAAAAAAAATAAGTGAAATATATGTTGGTATCTTATGTAAAGGAAAAAAAAAACAGCTCTTCCACACTTTTACGTTATAGAATTCTGAAGAAGTTTATGGAAGGATTACATAGCCTCAGTTTCACAATACTAGTATCAAAAATGACCTAGCTTGTCTGAACTACAATATCAAGGATGAAGAGTTTGACAATCTTTATAAGGTTGTGGTTTGGGACTGAATGTGTTTTTAAAGTGAGTCGAGGCAAGTGGAAAATATTACTGAAGAGCTAAAACAATCATGAAATGGGCAAAGTACCCAAGGTTTACTTAGACGACACTGGAGACAAATTAGGGAAGGAAAATATTAAATTCTATATGAAAAAAGAAAAAGGAATGGAGTATAACTAAAATGATGCATAAGAAATAGAAGGGCAACCATTTGGCTTTCTTCTGTGCAAATATTGGCTCAATGTCTATAGTAGTTTGCAGTTGCATTTAAGAAGATTAAAACATTTTGCAGACTGACTGAAATGCCTTGGTTTTCTGTTTGTGGCCGTCTCTTCTGTTTGTGGTCTCCTC